AGCAAGATGCTAGTTTAGATTGGGTGGTCAGGAAAGATATCCCTGGGGAAGGGATATTGAACTGAAGCTAAGCGACAAGGAATAAATGTCATTTGAAAATAAAGAAAAGGAAACAGTAAGTTCAAAGGTCCTGAGGCAGGAAGCCAGAGTATGGGGAGTGGTCCATTGGAGGAAAAGAACAATCAGTGTGAGTGGGGGTAAAGTTGAGGGAATGACTGGAGAGGGAGTCAGAGAAGAAGGGAGGGCCAGACCTCACTGGCCATGTAAACTGTGGTTAGGAATTTAGAATTTCCTCTGAGTTCTCCTGCTTCCTTGGGCACATCCATTTTCTCCCTGCCCAAAGCTTTCTCACATGCATTTGTCTGGAATGTTCTCCCCTCTTCTGTTCTCCTAGCTAACTATTCCTCTTTCTTCAGGACTCTAGTTTAAATATCCCTTTCTCCTGGAATACTTCCTTAATAAATATGTTCTCACACTTTTGCAGGCATTTCGTTGATTCATTCCACAAAGATTTATTGAGTGCCTGTCATGTGCCAGAGCACTGTCCTAGGCTCTGTGTGTATAATTAAACAAATTTTCATCAAATTAGAAAGGTATGTTTAGGATGATATGATGGGAAATGTGGTTTACATGGTATACCCAGAATTCTGTCTTGAAGAATTCCCTTGGAGAGCACCTGAAAAAGATAGCCATCCTTCAGAGCTGCAGAGGTACAGTGAGTGGCTCTGGGGCTCTGGACTGAAAGAGATGCATCTTATGAAGACTTGGTGGGCCGGAGAAGGCAGCAATTTCAAATTAATTATAAGTGTTGATTCTGGACCTACCTGCTTCTCAAATGGGCAGCACTATGTATTCCTAAGTTTCTTCATTTAGTGACAGTGATGCTTTCCCTAAGAACCATACGGTTCTTAGTAAAGAGATATATTCTTATTAGTCCCTAGAGAGGACATATGGTTATGAGTGAAGAGTGGCTTTCCTAAGCTCCACTGGAGACTCAAGCAACAAGTCTCTGAGAGCTGCTGCTATTTCCCAGAGGGTAACTCTGCAACCCCAGGAGGTGTCTGCAGTGACTCTTTTCAGAATGAGCAGTCTTAGTTTAGACAAAGAAGGTTTTTAATGTGGTTATTCAACAAATAGTTTTATCGAGAGCTTCCATGAGCGTGGTACTTGACTAAATTCTGAAGGTGCAGTAGTAAATAACAGATATGGTTCCTGTATACATGGAATTTACATTCTACCAAGAAAGACAGATGTCTCATAATTAATTACTTAGTTCCAATTGAGCAGGTACAGATTGTTCTGAAACCATATTTCCAGAGGTCCTGGTCAACCTGGGGAAGGCTGGAGGGTTGGGGACAGAAGGCTCCTCTAGGGTATGATATTTGACTTTGTTTTGTAAGATGATTAAAAATTCTAAGTATTAGAACATGATGCTGAGAGGCAAGGAGTGTCCCTTGCAAAGGGAACAAACACCCCAAGGTAGAAAAAAGCAGGTCCAGTTCCCCTAACATTCCTGAGAGAAGGACAGTGTGACTGAAGTGCCTTGAGCAAAAAGGAGCATAGTATGAGATGAAGGCATGCCAGAGATTTTTGTTTTGGGCTATTTTCCTAAAAGAAATGGGAAACGAGTAAGGGAAATGAGTAGGGTAGTAAAATGTCAGGTTTATGTTTAAAAGATATTCTGATTTTAGTGTGGAAGATAGATGGCAGGGTATGGGAGGGCAAAGGTGGATTAAAGGGGACTCACTGGGAAATTCTTACAGTAAAACAGGTGAGAAATAATGGAGACCTGGACCAGGGTAGTGGCATTAGAGATGTTCTCAGTGGAGGATTCTAGAGGTATGAGAAGGTAAAACTGATAGACTGTAGTAATTGATTATATATGTGGAATGAAGGAGAAGGAGATGTCATGAGTCCTAAAGTTGTTTGCCTCTGTGCTTCTTGATGGATGGTGATATTATTCTCGAAAAAGGAAACACTAGATCAGGACTAGGTTTAGGGAATCAGAACACAGGTCAGGTTCAGGATTTATGGTTGAGTTTGAGATGCCCATTACACACACAACAGAGAGGCTGACTAGGAAGTTGAATAGGCAAATCCATAGTTGAGAGGGAAGGTCTGGGTTAGAGACATAAAAAGTTATCATTGGAGACAAGGGTTTGGGTGAGTACATGTGGGGAAAGGTCATAGAGTAAGAAGAAAGCCTAGTTCTTTGAACTCCAGCATTTAAAGGTTGAGTAGAGGACATGATAGCCATTGAGTATCCATCAGTCTGTGGTGTGATGACTATTGTACCTTAGTGAGAGAGATTTCATTGATGTGATTTATGTTGGGAAAAGATGTTGGAGGGAGTTGAGAACTTCATGGGAGAGGAGGAAATGAAGATAGTGAATGTGGACAAAGTTGGGTTGACTTCCTTTCTTGTTTGCCAAGCTTCACTTTTGTTCTTTTAAAAATAATCAATGAAGGGAGTAAAAATCAATGAAGGAATAATTTCAGGACACCAAGAGGCAGAGGTCTGTTGAAGGAAATTTTTTCATTGTTCCTTTATTTTCTACTCAAAACAATGTTCAGTAATATTTAAATATTACCTGCCTTTGTTTCAACCTTCTGCGAATGAGATTTCAGGTTTTGTTTTTGTTTCTTGTTGTTGTTGTTTGCTTTTCCAAATGATCTGGATTCCTCACTATAGGAGAAAAGATACACAGGGTTTCTTATACTGGATGATTCCTTCAAAGAAACAATGGAGGCAGAAATTATTTGTAGATATAATATTGGATCTAAACCCATTCCCTCACTTGATGCCATCTCAGTGAGCACGTCTTGCACTATTTGTAATTTTAACATGAAAGAGAAGTTGATGTGATTTGGATAGTAATTTCTCACCAAAATTCCAAAGAAATGTTACATGTGGCAGCATGAGAAATTTATCACCTGAGAAAGATGCAGTAAATCTTGGTTTAATTTGCTTTGTTTGCTTTTTTCCAACAAAATAGAAAAAAACTTCTTACTTATCTGGTGAGTATCAGGAGAATTTCAGGCCTATGAGGGGGAATTTGACCAAGCTGTTCCCAAATAACAACTTTTTCAGGCAGTTTGGTTGTGAGGGAAGGGGTAGCACCTGGAGAAGTCAAAGGAGAGATTTTTCCCTAATGTCGGAGAATTGAGCATGATTAAGTGTTGACAGGAAAGACAGAGTAAAAAGGGATTGGTTAAAAAAATACAGGAAAGAGAAAGAATAATCCATGTACCTCAAACTCAGATTTCCAAGGGGTCAAGTCAGTAACCTAAGTGAGTGAGACAGTGAGATGTAAGAAACAGAGTGGCAGAAACTACAAGAAACTAGAGAGGAAAGTACAGGCTCCTTCTAAATGTTAGCCTGAGGCTAAGGAGTCTTCTGGGGGATGATGGAATTGTTCTTGATGGTAATATACAAATATATGTGTTGGTCAAAACTTGTGGAATTATGCACTAAAAAAAGATGGATTTTATCTTTCATTTTTCTTTAAGTAAAATTAAAACAAAAGGGAAAAAAAAAACCTATATGAGTCAAACAGGCTATGTCTGTGGGCCACAAACATTGTTTTATGGCCTCTGGAGTAATTGAGAGAATAAGTCTTCTGAAAAGATATGAGGGATGGAACCTAGACCCCAGGGTGGAGAGTTTTCCCTCAGATAGAGGATGGATATTGTCTCTATAGCAACAAGAGGAAAGGTGCTAAGGGTGGGAAAGCAGACAGGCAAGCCTGTGGCAGGAATCTGAGGGATTTCTGATCTGCTGACTTCTATTTGCCACTGAAGCAGGAGGCCTAGTCATTAGCTGACTATGAGCTAGGAAGTGGAAAGTAAGATATTTGAGGAGACTTTTGATGGTTTGATATAGCCCCAGAGGAGAATTTGAGAATGAATGGAACAGAAAAAGATGATAAGATTGTTGGATAGTATTTCAGGCCCTTCTGAGTCCGGCGGTTATAAAAGAGAAAAACGAAAAACCCACATACACAAAATAATAGTTGCCTAAAAATCAAACCTTACTTCTCTTTCATATAAAAGAATTATGGAGTTAAAACTAGGACTGGTACATGATTTCATCAGAGATCAATACTACTTTTTACTTCAGCATCTTGGCTTGTGGCTTCCGTCCTCAGGGTCACCTCATGGTTCAAGATGGCCACAAGAGTTGCACCAGAAGGCAAAGAAGAGGGACTCTTCTGCTGAATCAACTCTTTTGAAGCTTTTCTTAGCAACCATTCAACATTCTCTCACATTTGCTGAAATGCAGTCATATGACCACACCTGCGTACAAGGGCTGCTGGGAAATGCAATTTTTTTATCTCTAATAGCAATGTGTCTAACTAGACATCAGGGTTCTATGATTAAAGAATATATATTAGAGTATGGAGTTAGTAGTCTCTACAACAGCTTTTTACTCTCCAGTGGGGCCCATCTCAGAATGTGGCCATGAGGAAACCTGGGAGTCGATTTCACCAGGGTTGAGGTTTTATCAGATGAATGGTATAAAACTGCTAAGAAGCAGAATCTAGAACTAACTGTCTTGAGAGAGTGACTAAAATTATGAACCATGGATTCTACATTAGGTTTGAAAGAAACGTGAGGGCAGGAGGAAGCTGATGGTGGAGAGAAAGTAGAGACTTTAATACAGTGGAAGAAAGGTTCCTGTGGAGGAAATTGAGTGGGTAATCTTGAACAATAGGAGGTCATGATGGAGAGGGAGAAGTTAGGCTTTGGACAGACAGCTGCTAATCATCATTTTATTTATTTTTTATTTTTTTATAATTTTTTAAAATCATTTTAAAGAGAGGAGATAAGACAACAACACTCTTAAGCTCAAGTGAAGATCAAGTGAAGGGAGTGACAAGAATTCACCCACCTTCTTTTCTACTTCTCTCTCTTCCCCAACTACTTTCTACCTCTATGAGTCTGTATCTGTAGTATTTCAAACGAAGGGTGTATTGGACACATCTCATGCTCTACCTCACATCTTTTTGGCCCACTTTTAACTCTAGCTATTTCTGCAACAACCAGGTGTGACCTGACAGCACTCCTTCCCACAGATGTCACGTGATAGCAGTGAGTCTCAATGTTATCAGGAATCTTCCACGCTCCACTCCGGCATATCTCTGACCTGCCGGACACTCGTACATTTGCAAACCTGAAAAGAGGAAAGAAAGTCAATACCCCAAGGGCCAATCCTTGACCACTGGGAACTAGGATCTGATAAATAAATGCTCCCTTTCATCTCCTTCAGGGTGGGTAATTCTGAGATACAATCTTCTAGGTTCTCCAGAGGTGCCTAGCAGGACTGAGCCCCAGGTGCCCATAACAGTAACTGGCTTTGTCTACAACAAGTGCATTCAGTTGTGAAACCATTACTATCTAGTTTGAGAACATTTTTACCACTCCCCCCCAAAAAAACTCATGTCCGTGAAACCATCACTCTATTTCTCCCTATCCCAACCCCTGGCAACCACAAATCTATTTTCTGTCTCTATGAGTTTGCCTATTCTGGATATTTCATATAAATGGAATCATACAATACATACTTTTTTTGTGGCTAGATTCTTTTACTTGGCATATGTTTTGAGATTCATTCATGTTGAAGCATGTATCAGTACCTAATTCCTTTTTATGGCCAAAGAATACAGTGTTGTATGGATATGCCACATTTTGTTTATCTATGCATCAGCCGATGAACATTTAGGTTGTTTCCACCTGGTCCTGGCCACAGAGCCCAGGGATGACCACATAGATGTGAGTCCTAGAGCTCTTCAGGGCATCTGGTCAACCCCATGTGTGTGGGGAGGGAGGAGAGGCCTGGGAAGGGAAGAGGGTATGCATGGAGAGTCAAAGGGCCCTTTCAAAGAGGTAAAATAGAGATTGGTTCTCATGTGGGACCAGGACCAGTATGGACAGTACTGTCAGCCCCTGCCAGAGAGGGATTTAGAAAAATTTGAGGAAGGCACTCCAAGTACTGGGCCCTCTGAGAGCCTCTTCATCCAGGTCTAAGGGTGGTAGAACTCAGAATGACCTGGGATTAATGTGAACTCCAGAAAGCAGAATAAAAGGGAAACCAGCATTTGTTTTATGTGCATTCTAATTGCCACACACTATGGAAGACTCTTGCTTTGTTTAATCCTCATAAGCACCTTATGAATTAGGTACTATTATCAAGCCCATTTTATAGATGAGAAAATTGTGTCCCAGAGAGATTATCTGACTTTCCTCACGTCACCCAGTGGTGAATTCAGGTTGTAAATTAAGTTCCTTTTCTATACCCCATGTTACTGCCCATGAAGGGTCTTGCCTTTTCCACTTCTACTAAAAGGATGGGTACTATTTCTTTATAAGAAATATGTCACTCTGATCTTTTTTTCTGGTTCTTGGACATTCTCTAGCTGACTGGGTACATTCCACACACAGTTTCTGTGACTGGGTTTCAGCCATGGCATAAAGCACCCTCTGATCTCTTGACAAATAAAGAGATATAAAACACCCTGGTTTGCATTTGATGGTTCCATTGCTCCTAAACTCCTGTTGCAGGTCCAAGGGCTCCACCTGTGTCTGACAATTCCCTGCCTGTTATTTTGGGAAGGTTCAGCTCACATATGGAGTGAACTCAAGCAACTCCCTAAACAACTTTTAAACCAAAGAAAGCAACATCAGGCTAGGTGCTAGAAGGTTGGTTTAGAACCTGAAAGAAAACCAGGTTAAGATCATTCCGCCTCAGTCTGTGGTGATGTTAATGATTATTCTGGTTTGGATTCTTACAGGTTGGGACAGACTTCGGGCAAAAATCATTAAGGTGAGGTGTGGCTGTTTTCTAACCTTGGCTGACGAAACCCTGCTCCTAGGCAAGGGACCAGGCTGTAATTTAAGGATGACTACATGGCCAAGCCATTGTTTCCACACTTTCACCAGAAGCCCTGACTAAAAGATGGCTTCATCTCGTGAGAAGTGTTGGCTTGGAATCAAGTAAGAGCTTCACTACTTTTATAGACATCTTGGTCTCCCTCTATTGACCCCCCCATCTTTTCCCTCAACCCATTATTTATGACCCCTTGATTTCTATGAGTGAATAAATAAAATAGAGCTCCTGCAAAGGCAGCAATTCAGGATTTTCATTAGAGGGAGAGGAATGAGAAGCCCCATTTCCTTGTAACCACAGCATCCTGAAAGAGAGCATCTAGATAGTATTTAAGAATGAGACAAGATGTCCTGAAATGTCCTATGACTTCAGCAACACCTCAGGGCTGGGGCAGGTGAGGTGCTGAGTATAACCATTAATCGAAGTTCTAAGGTTCAAAACAGCATCTGTTTCTACTCAGGCCAGAGAATTACTCACAATCCCCCTTAAAATAACACTTACCTATGTTCTCGTGAAAGAGTTAAAAAGATGCCCCCTAGAATGGCCTAATATCAGAACAGACATCATTTCTTCTATGTGGGTATTTATCCCAGGGTCTGAAAGTTAGTACCTACTCTTAACTTTTGACCTATAGCAAATGCTATTATAGATATGAAATAAGGAGCTGAAAGGAGTCTGGTTTCTAAGGCACTTGATATAAAAGTAGCAGATTTCTGATGAGAGAATGACTTCCAGGTTAACTCATTCCCTAGCGCTCATCCCCAAACTTGGCCATCCCAGTTAGTTTTCAAGTTAATGATGTCTGGACTGAGCACCTGGGTCAGCTGCCTACACTACTTCAGCCTCAGGAAATACCATACATTTCCATCATAAATTCATGCTTGGTTGGTTGTTCTGGACAAAAGGACAATGGTTCCCCTGATGGCTTGTGTTCAGCTGCTGCCTAATGCCTTGCTTATTTGACTTCAGCGTGGCATGAAATCATGGGCCTATAAAAGCAGTAGAGACAGAGAAGGGTTACGTAAGGTTTATATCTCAAAGTCAACAGAAATGAGTTTCAGGTTGCTGGGCTGACAATGTGGAGAAGGGAGTTTTGACATTTCAGGGGCAGGTCGATGCTGCCTGTATGGCCAGTCTGACCAGCAGCACCTTCTTAGAGGCACTTCCCTCAAGTGCCAGCTTGAGTTTGGATCTATTCCAGTTTGGGTCTATAAACTGTCAAGGCATTTTGTCATGGCAGTTAGGTATTCTTACAAGGCAGATTAGTGCCATGTTATGGGATTCAGTCTAAGCCTCAGAGCTACCTTGAGACTGAATTACTACAGGATTCTCAAACCTGAGTTTGAATCCTGCCTCTACGATTAGCCTGTGTCCACGAACAAATTACATCCTTCCTCTAAGCCTCAATATCCTTAACCTCAAAGGGGACAAAATAATTGTGAGGATTACAGGCAATAATGGTTAAACGCATATGGCCTAATTCTGGGCACAGAGTGAGCTCTCAATAAATGGAAGAAAGCAATAAGGACTATTTAAAAAGTATACATCTGCTCAAGTAGGGTTCTTCTCTTTTCTCGGCTTTCCTTATTTTTACTGAAGGAGTTCTTAGCTGGGAATACAGAATTTGACCCGTTGGTAATGAACTTCATTACCTGTCATTCCATTCCATTTCTGGGTAGTTCATCCACTGTTGTAATATGCTTACCTATGATTATTACCTCAGCAAATGACTCAGTTTTTTTTGGTAATGAGAAATCAGAACTATGGGTTGTTGACACCTTATTTGATATAATAAGTAAAGAAGGGCAAAGGTGTTTGTTGAGAACCAAAGCTGGGTCTAGCATCTGGAAATAGCTGAGCCCTGCAAAGGAGTTACTATGAAAGTTTTCTGCTGAATACAGAACAATAATGATAACTTATGGTCTCTAGACTTCTAAATTCACCTGTTACTCTACTGAGTGAATACCCTCAATGTCAAGAAAAGAAAATAAGTTACTTTTTTTAAAAAAATTATTTATTATAGTGTAAATGCAACAGGGACGATTTCAGTTAACAAACGTGTGTCTTTAAATTCAAAGATTGGCTTCACTATCTCCTCCCCATTAACTAAAAGCTTAAATTTACAGATTGAGCCTAAAAAAAACTCACTCGTATCCTGTTAAATCCCATGCTATCATATTGACATACTCAACATACCCCAAACTCAATTCATTTTTCTCCTCAAACTGCTTCTCCTTCCCAACAACGTATTTCTGTCAATGGTTTTACCATTTTCTCATCTTCAAACCTAGAGATTTTGATGTGATTTCTGATTCTTCCACCACATTACCTCTCTGATCAGAAGTCACCTGGTCCTGTTGCTGCATCATGGTCAAGCAGACTGGCTAAGATTCTGAGCTCCAACATTAGACCCTTCTGGGTTTGATGCCTGGCTTTACCACTTACAGTTGTGTGACATTAGGCCTGTTGCTTAACCTCTCTGTGCCTCAATTGCCTCATCTTTAAAATTGGAAAAATAACAGTTAATTCTTCATAGAGTTGCTGTGACAATTAAGTGAGATAATGTGCCGGCACATGGTAAGTACTTGATACAGTTCTGGTACTAATTTTATTATTATTACAAATAGTTGAGGATATGTTCCGTTCTCTCTCTTTTTGTTGTAACTGCTCTATTTTAAGCTCTTATCATTTTTGGCCTGGGTTATAGATACTGATGTCTAATTTTATCCTGTTTCCAGATTTCTCTTTCCTTAGCTTGTCCTGGAGAGCTATGGCAGACTGGTCTTTCTTAAACAGCATGTAACTCTCCAGCTCAGAATCCATAATGGCTCCTTAATACCTATGGCTTCCAATCTACTCTTTTCTGGGCAGCTTCCAACACCCTCAAGAATTCACCCTGCTCAGTGTCTGTCCAGATGTAGTGTAGTGATTGAGGGCGCAAGCTCTGGTGTGCCACCATTTCCTCTGTAACCTTAGGCAATTATGTGCCCTTAGTCATTTCAACATATAAACTCCCTGTTTAGGCTGTCTCTTCACTCTTAAGACATGTCTCCTTCCCTGCCTTCTTTCCAAGACGGGTTCTGAGTGTATGGGGAGCCTACATATCTTCACAAGGGAAGGGGCACAGACCTCTAGCTCCTCTCTGATCTTGGATGTCCTGTGTCTGGTCCTGCTGTGCTCTATTTTGCTCTGCTGACGTTCAGTTGGTCCCACCTTGTTCTTTGAATCTCATACTAGACCCCTTCCTTCTCTCTGCTGAAGTACATCTTCTGTATCTTCTTATTTTGTGTTTCAGCCTCGTGGCCTAATGTTAAATGCCGAATGACCTAAGGGAAGAGGATGTATTATATTGAAGGGTATGAGAGAGAGAGAGAGAGAGAGAGAGAGAGAGAGAGATATCCTTGTTCAGTTTGTTTATAGAGTGCCAAGTGCTAGGAATACAATAATGAATAAGATACTATCCCTGCTCTTAAGAAGCTTCGATCTGGACAGAGAAGACAGACTAGAAAACAGATTATAACACAATCTGGTAAGTGTAATACGGATGATATTTACAAGATGCTATGCCAATACAGAGGGCAACCCATCCCAGTCTAAAAGGGTGGATTTGGTGGGGAGGGTGGAGATTAGAATCAGAGAATGCTTTCCAAAGGTAAGCTTTGAAAGTCAAATAGGAGTTGTATTAACAAGGTTGGGATGATGTGAAAGTAAGGCAAGAAGAGCAATGTCAAGAACTCCAAAAGGAATGGTGTCAGATGGGTACTAGACTTATCAGGGTGATCATTTAGTAAGTTATAGAAATGTCTAATCACTGTGTTGTACACCTGAAACTAAGATAATATTGTACGTTAACTATAATTGAAAAATATTTTTCTTTAAAGAAAATAAAAAACCAGTCCCAACAGGGAGAACACTGTAAATAAAGGAATGGAGGCATGAAACAGTATCATATACTTTAGGACCTAGGTATAGTTCTGTATAACTGAGATATCAAGTAAGGGGAGCAGGTATGGCAGCGGATGAGGCATTCTGGCTTTATGAAAAAAGTTGCTAATGAAGTGTATATACACATTATGTACAATAAATATTAACATAGAAAGAAATGAAAATCAGAAACAACAACAACAACAACAAGATAACAGGTCTGAATGAAAGTGGCTCTTGGAGGGGCTTTGGGAACCCAGAGTAGCCAGGCTTGGGCCACCTCACAGAGGGCTTGCCCCTCTTATTCTTCAAGCTACAATTTGTGTTTCTAGTTCAGCCATTTTTATTTGCCAGTCCTATTCCTGTGTTTGGTATGGTTATTTACTGAAGAAGGAAAAAGAAAAAGTGAGTGAATGTAGAGGATGAGGAAGAAGATTATAAAATAGATATTTGAGTAAGTGGCTCTCATTTGGATGTCTAACAGATATCCCAAAGTCAGCATTTCCAACCTGAACTACTAATTTACGCCCACAAATCTGTACCACCTGTAATCTCCATCTCAGTTGATGGCAACTCCAACTTTCCAGTTGCTTAGGCCTAAAGTCTTGAAGCCCATCCGCATTCCTCTCTAACATATCCCATACCCAGTCCATTAGGAAATTCTGTGGTCTCTTCCTTCAGAATATACCCCAAATTCCGCCATGTTTTACCATCCCAGTTAAATCCACATCATCTCTCATCTTGGTTACTGCAACAGCCTTCCAACAAGTCCCCCTGCTTTAACTCTTGACCTCCTACAGTATTCTTCTCACAACGTCCAGAGAGATCATTTAAAAATGTAAGTCAAATAATATCACCCCAAAGCACGCACATCTCCCTTTTTCACCCAGAATAAAAGCTGAAGTTCTCACAATGAATTGCTTTAGGAGCTCTTGCCATTCCCTCTGCCTAAAATACTTTTTCCCCAATAATCTACTTAGCCAACTCTGGCACCTCCTCAAGTCTGCTAAAATTTCACCACTCAGTGAGAGTGACCTTTTCCACTCTATTATTGTTGTAATCTGCTATCCCTATTTCCATTCACTCCTGATCCCCCTTACCTACTCTACTTTTTTTCCCCCACAGTCCTTATTACTTCTAATATAATCTTTTTATTATCTTTATTGTTTAATTTCTTGTTTCCCCCTGCTAGGCTGCAAATTCCATAAGGGATTATTGGTTCACTGATATACCCTATTAGGAACACTTAAATGTCTAATGAATGAAAGAATGAATGAAAAAGTAGATATTGTTAATTGGAATCTCCACTTGACATTATTCAAATTTCCCATTCTTAACATAGCTCAGAAACTGGTATTGAGAAACAGAGGAATGAGTCACATGCATCTTAATTCTAGGGACTAAATGAAAAAAGAAAAAAAAAGTCTCCCTAAGGCATGTCCATGGGGAGAAGGAAGACTAATCTTTTAACATTTTAATGTATTTTCTTGTTGTCCTTAAGTTTTAAATGAATAAAGTTATCAGATTTTTTCCTGAATTTTGTTTGTACACATGTGTTCTTTAGGGACTTTTCTACCACCAAGATTATAAACATATTCTTTTATACTTCTCCTAATGCTCATTTAATTTAGTTTTACTTTGTTTATTAAGTTTAGGTCACGTCTTTAATATATCTAGAATTTAAGCTTGTGATTTGTAAGAAGTAGGGAATAAACATCATTTTTTACAAATGATTAGCCAGGTAGTCCCAAATCATATACTAAGTAGTCCAGCCTTTCCTTGCTAATTTGAAATGTCACCTTATCATGTAGTCTGTTCTTGAATTCTTTGTTCCTTGGATCTATTTGTCTATTCTGGCACCAATATCAAACAAATTTTAATTAGCATAACTTTATGCTATATTTAATTTTCTGGTAATAACCTCTAATTTTATTACAATTCACTATTTGTTACTAATTTTAGCCTAAATCAAACATATATCCATTCACGTGACTTTTTTGAGCATTCCAGTGTCGCGCACTGGAAATAAAAGTATGCTGGCTGGATTCAATTGTTCAAGTATAAATTCAATGGATTGAGATCCAGACTCTGTTTCTTTAATTGAGTTTGGGGTGGGGATATGGCAGGGGAAGAAAAGGTGATGGCAAAGTTGTTTTTTCCTTTTAAGTATTGGTTATGTTCCTGATGTATTTATAAATAAGAGATATCAGCTTTGCTAACTTTTCCCAAAATAGTAAGTCTAAATATGAATCAGAAGTTGAGGCTCTAATGAAAAGTTTTAAAATGTAGACAAAGGCTAGGAAATGAGAAAAGCAGAATGTAGTGAAATAGTCTAAAAACATTCTTATTACAATTTATTTCCTAGTCTTAGTCTGCCAATTAGGTGGCAAATGACTTTTCACATAAATATTAAGGCAAGGTCTTTCCTCTTCCTCTATTAAACTTGTTTTGAGAATCACACACCAAGTCATGGCCAGTGAAGCATCACCACATCCTAGGAAGATCTTGTGTGTATACTACGCTCATTAGCACATTTAATTGCATGTTCCTACTTCCTCAGATTAGCCTTTTGGCAAAGTTAGCTCACTTCATTTCCAAAGGATACGGGGTAACCATGGTCCATCGTTGAGCAAAAGAGATGAAGATCGGCTAGAAATTGCAATCAGAGAGAAGGTTCAAGTGTGATCTGTAAAGCTAGGTATAACACTGGGAAGTCTACCGCCTTTACTCAGGTCAAGGCAGCTGAATTTTAAAAACTCATAAACAGGGGGTCTTTAAAACTTTAATGTCCCCCCCACACACACACCATAATTAAGGGAATTTTGACATCTGTTTGTATATGGTAGGAACAATAGTAATATTCAAATACAACTCATTCGAGTGTTAGATTGGACCTCCATCCAACACGAATTTATTGAGCATCTACTTTGATGGGGATAAAAAAGTGAGATAGACAGACACAGGTCTTTCCCTTAGTCAAAGAAATGCTCCTTCCCAACCAAAAGCTTTATTTCATCGTCCAAGAAGGATAAATGAGCAGTCTTATAATTAAACTGTGGAATGACAGAACACTTTTAAACTACATAATTATTGACATCCAAGGAAATCTCAACCTACTGTAAAGTTGATTATAAGTTTCATAATTTCTGCTCTATATATTCTCCTTCTCTTTTTAAACATTAAATCCAAATGTGATTAACCAGGATTTATAACCTACTTTGTCAGCCTGTTATTTAATATCCCCTTCTTCATTACTGCAGTCAAATTACTTCATTACTGCTTAATTTAAATATGACGCTAGACATTGTTGGATGGTCCCTAAGATTAAGAACTTACCTTAGTGACTAGTTCTTCTGTTATTCACCAGACTCTCCAAAGAGCCCAGGCTTCTATCACACAGGAGAGAGTGGTTAATTACATTTGGGATTGTCATATGGGAGTGTTTTCTAGGAGAAGCCATATAAGATGGGTCTCAGAGTAAGTATGGGCTGTTTGAGGTTATGTTTGGGGTCACAAAATGCATATGGACTAAATCATGACTTCAAGATCTGAGATCACTGAAAGAGAAGACCAAGGCTATGCCTGGGCACTGGAACACAACTGTTATATATCAACTTCCTACCATCACTAAGGAGCATTAAATCTATATAAAGATGGGAAAGGGACATTCAGTGGTAAAATCCAGAAAGCACACAAGGAAATGGCAACACTGGCCTTTGAAGAACATATCCTAGAAGAGTTGTACTTAACCTGTTTTCATATCCTCACTGTTATGGTACACTGTCTTTGAGACCCTGACAGGGTAAATATTCAAAATAAGAAATTCTCTTCCTTCCTTAGTTTTTCTGGTTTAAAAAGAAGCACAATCACTAAATGAGAAAATGCCCTTTCATTAAATACTCTACTCCATAACTACCCCAGAGCTCCATTCCAGAATTTTAGAACAAAAATATTCAGAGGTGAAATGGAGAAGCAAAAATTGTTGTCCAATTTGTGTTCTCAGTCTGGACCACATCACTAACTGCTGCAGGTTACTGTTAAGAAATTGGGATCCAGCACCAGTCCATACCGAATATTGTTCCAAAGGCACAGCGTAAATGCTGCCTACAAAGCTTCTAAGTGCTTTAATGAGTAGAGCCTGAGAAATAACTAATTCCTTAACTGAGTATGATGCATCTATAGGGTAGAGGTGAAGGGCATGCTTAATCTGGTAATTGCTTATAGGAAACGTGGATAATTTCTCTGAGAACAAACCCAATTACTCATAATGTGCCATACTGGGCAGTTCTCAAGAGAATAGGCATCACGATACTATTAATTTGGGTCTGGCACACATCCATATTCTCTTTATGATCCTCTTACCACAACCCTGCCCCCTACACACTATCTTTTCTTTCCTATAAAGTAATGAAATAATAATGGTTGATGGCACCATCTAAAAGATAGCATAATAGAATGTATACTCTGGGCTTTAGAGTTACTACTAGGTTAGAATTCTGATACTACTGCACAGCAGAGAACACTCATTTCATCAATGTCCTACTTTGGTCTGCTCTTGAAAGTTGGAGATAGGCTGTGGTGAACTTAGAAACAGGAAATACAAATATGATCCCCTTCTGATCATAATCCTGCCAGTTCAGTACATGGCCCACCCATAGTCTTGCCAGATGCCTAGTTGTGTAAGCTCTTTATTTCCCAGGACTCACTCATGACCACAGCTAATAATTTCCCCAGAAAGGGCTCTTGCAGTCTCAAGCAAGCTGAAGTTAGACACAGGATGTCTTCTCCTAGGAGCCTTCTTCTAACAGAGCGAACATTGCTCTCTCTATACACTTAGCTTTGTGTTTGCTACTCAGTTTTTATATTAATCACCTTTGACATTCATTTATATGCAAAGTCGCTGATAAAAATGTTTAGGGAAAAAGGATTGTCATATTAATTCTATCAAGATGTTAACATTAATCGTATTTGCAGAATTTAGGTAGTTGTAGAATCTCAAGATATTAAGTTTTCAAAGATTGAAGACTAACAAGAAATACTAAAGTGGTACAGAGTGCCACCAAAGCCACTACCTTTTGTGATGCAAATTTCCTAAGGTATACACAATTTAGATGACAAATTAAGGCTCAGATTTTAAGGATGAATACCTAGGATGTTTCATTGATTTCACAAGGCTCACTAGAAAAGATGATCCATTTAAAAGGGGATAATTGAGGAGAGTTTAATGGAGATACTAATTAAAAGGGGTTGAGCAGGATTAAGGGAACCCAAGCGAAAATGGTGAAGTATCTCAGCAGTGCCCAAATCTTTCTGCAATGGTGGAAATGTTCTATATCTGTATTGTCTAATACTGTAGCCATTAGCCACATTTGGCTGTTAAGCATTTAAAATGTGGTTAATGCAACTAAGCCACTGAATTCTTAATTTTATTTAATCTCAATTAATTTAAGTTTAAATAGCCACATGTGGCTAATGGCTATTATATTGGACAGTACAACTCAGGTGTAGCAGAGCCATTAAAACTCCTAGGCCTGAAGAGGTAAGAAGAAAAAATTACTGGAACCTGGAGTGATGCAGAATTAGATATATATCTCATAGGAGGGGACAGCACGACAGGAGCTGTGGCCTTTGACAGAAAAATGCAGACACTGCCAACTTGCAGACTGGTAGGGGAAATCCTGAGAATACCAACTCACTCTTCTTGCCCTACCATTCCTCTCTGGTGCTTCTGACTGGTGGAACTCACCAGAAACTAGAAGACAAGAAAACTCATTAATGCAGTTCATAAAGGTCACCCTCTTGGGGCACAGAACATAGTGAAGGGTAGAGAGTGGATCTTGAGCAAAATATTATCATACCAAGTACAAAATGAGTTGAAACATTGTTTGGTTTATTAGCACTCATAAGTCTAATTAAATATGGAACCAGTGGCAAAAATGGAAAAGTTTTCAGTAAATCCTATGAATGTGTCACATTAAAGCTATCCCAGAGTTCTCTGCTGCACTCTCACAATGCTTTAATCAAACTGCAAATGGGTTCATTTCAGGTTTCATACATGAAGAATGATGTCAATAACACATCCCATCAACTATATTTAATCTTGGATTGTTACCAAGGATCTATGAGCCTTTTTCCAAGGTAACATCTCAAATCACAAAGCCTAGGAGTAGGAATTTTTTTTCACTTGACCTAGGCTAAAGGTCATTCTAACTCAATAAATAAACTTAGATTAGAAAAAGGGAGGAAGACCAATAAACTAGATACAGGGATCCGAAAGCCCCATTTCCTAATCTAAGGACTGTGTGACCACTCTGTTCAGGTAGGCCCACTTATGTTTTATTTTTGTACCATCTCTCTGAATGTTGGTGTTTTAACAACTTTCCACTTTCTGCACTGTAGTGCTGAGAGGAAAAAAAAAAAAAAAGACATTGAGGGTGTGTTAGTATTTATAGCCAAAATCAAAATCAATTCCTATTTGTGGAAAGCTTTATTGTCTACTTTAGCATGGCCAGAATATATCAAAAGTCCAGTCCTTACTACCCAACACTTAAGGAAGAGAGGTCTAATGTTATTGGATGGGGGTTGAAGTAGGTGCCAAAGGAAAAGCAGTTCCCACCACCTCCAAGCAGCAGGAGCTGTTGCTCTTCAGGAAAGAGGGTGCTGGTATGGTTGTGTAACATTAATGGCCATGGCACACATGTTGTGTCAATCTGATACTCAGAGCTCAATCCTGTCGTTAAATCGATAACAGTCACTCCAGGAACTGAGGAGGAATGAATCCAGACCCCTCCAACCAGCAGAAGTTTCCCATTGAGCACATGAGCTGTGTGGGAGTACCTTGGGGTAATGGGAGGCTGGATGTCTACTGATTCCCAGAGGAATCCACAAGAGGTTGGTTTCAGAAAGAGTACAGAGCTCAGTGGCTCCTCAAAAGCACCCAGACCCCCAGCAATAAGGGCTCCCCCT